AAAATAAAATTAAAATATTGGGTGTACAAATTAGTTCGGTCCGTTTTCAAAAGATGGCTCCGGCTGTTATGAATAGTTCATAGTGACTGCCGATTTTGGCGGTTTCAGAGAAGTTAGACATCTGCCAATAATATTCAGTTTATATCGCTTTGAGTTTCATACAAAAACCTTGCTTTTTACAGTGTTGAAAATGTCGAATTTTGTGTTAACCAAGCAGCATTTGCGGGAGGTTTTAATTTTCTGCTTTAATTGGAAGAAAAGTGCAGCTGAAGTTCATCGAATGCTTGTTGAAGTTTATGGTGACGCTGCTCCAACTGATAAATCATGTAGGGAATGGTTTCGACGTTTCAAGGATGGAGATTTCAGCGTCGAAGACAAGCCTCGCTCTGGACAGCCAAAAAAATTCGAGGACAAAGAATTAGAGGCATTACTCGAAAAAGATCAGAGTCAAACGCAAGAGGAGCTTGCAGAATCATTGAGAGTGACTCAACAAGCCGTTCCCGTACGATTGAGAGACATGGGAATTATTCAAAAACAGGAAATTGGGTGCCTTATGAACTGAAACCGAGAGTCGTTGAAAGGTGTTCTTCATGACAACGCTCAGCCTCATGTCGCAAAAGTCGTAAAAAATATTTGGAAACGCTCAAATGGGATGTTTTACCGCACCCGCCGTATTCTCCGGACATTGCTCCTTCTGATTACTGGTTGTTCCGAAGGATGCAGCACGATTTGGCAGGTCACCGGTTCACTTCTTTCGCAGATATCGAAAATTGGCTCCAAACTTGGATCGCCTCAAAAGACGAGTCATTTTTTCGAGATGGAATTCGAAAATTGGCTGAGAAATGGGAGAAAGTAGTAGCCAGCGATGTAAAATACTTTAATTGATCTGTTCATTCATTTCGTTTTGAAATAAATACATCTTTTAACACAAAAAACGGACCGAACTAATTTGTACTCCCAATACTATTGCGTATCGCTCAGGATAAAAAGCTATGCAAATTTAATATCAAATGCCCGAATCTTCCGTTATTACGCGGCACATGATTGTACCTCGTGTCTAGTATCCCATTAAATTGAAGTATCCCTGCTGCCAGGGCGGATTTGCGTGCGGCTCATCGATGCCATTCAATGTACGCCTTGCATGCTAAATGATTTCGACACGCGAGCGTCGTAGCCCTAAAATCGAGACTTCTCTTTGACCGACGTAAATTAAGTGTGACACGACATGACGACGATCAGCGAGAAGGAACCGCGCGATGATCATGTTCATATGACCGTAGAAAATTTTCAATTTTTAACACCAAGTATCTTGAAGTAGCTTGAATTTTATCCTAAAATCCTTTGAAAGAATGTTTTTTATTGCAATTTCGCGAGTATTATGCGTTAATATGCAGATCGACATTTTTAATCAGCAAACAGACATATTCTTGTGCATCTATTACCGCCTTAACAGTGCACAAATATGGAAGAATTTGCTGAGAAATACGATAAAAGACACACCAGCTTTGAAATTTTTTCAAACAAAATACGTTAATGTCAACACGCTAACGCTATCCTTCTGCAAAAGTTCCCAGGTTAACCTCGCGCTTACATTGCGCGCTTCATTTTATTTCAATTGTCGTTCGCAAAGATCCTCCTGCGCTTCACCGAATTATCCTATTAGGATCCTCGAATATTGAGACACTTTCTTTTCCAACACCCGGTATATCCACGGATGAGAAACGAACAAGTGATAACGTCAACAACAAGTGCAGCGATGAGGCCGAGCAGGTTGAGACTGCGAGTGCAAAGTTAAACGCTGAGCATTCGGTGGCGACGATGACCGCCGCGACGGCGGCGGATATAATCTCGGCGTGCAATAAATTACACTCGTCACAAACGGCGCACTATCGCAGCCAGACACATTCGCAACGAGATGGCCTTATCTCATCGAAGCTACAATAATCATTCTCTCTCGTTTTCTCTCTCCCCCTCTCTCTCTCTCTCTCTCTCTCTCTCTCTCTCTCTCTCTCTCTCTCTCTCTCTCTCTCTCTCTCTCTCTCTCTCTCTCTTTCTCTCTCTTTCGGCCCCCTCTTTCTCTGTCAGACAAATATGTTTGGAAAAATGCACAACGTTCCCGACGTGAGACTAACCGACGCCAAATCGAACGATATCGCGATTATACGTTCGATTTCCCGGATGAGAATGCTGCAATACTGCGGACTAGATTGATGGATTTCGAAGTTGTGCCACAGCTTTGTCAGTTTTTCTGTTTTGCTTAATACAAATGATGGATATACAGAAATATGGCGTTTAACGTTCTTGTTACACGCTTTCATTCATGCATGTGTGTGTGTGTGTGCGGCTCTCTCTGATGTATTTTGTTTCCCAAACATTATGTGAAATGTATGTTAACAGGAAGATATAATAAAACCAAATATTTAGTTATGAAGAGAATGCGAGAAATAGAGATACTCTCTGCTGTTTGAACCATTTTTTATAAATATTAGTGCCGTTAAGATAAATCAGATATTTCCAACACTCGAGTGTTGCAAAACATCCGGCTGCCGAAACCAAAAATTGTAACACCAATATCTCGAGAATATCTGAAAGTTTTAAATATTCAAGAGTATAGCCGAACACTCTATTAATAAATAAAAATATCCGACTCGGATTTCAACGATATAGCGCGAAATTATCAATAGCAGGTATACTTATTTGCATTAATGCTAAACGATGAAGAAAACATCTGAGAGGGATTAAATGTATTCTTGAAATATTATCGACTGACGCATACAAAACAAACGCAGGGATAAAGTTAAGCAACAAATAAACGTAGTCATTAAGCGTGTCAGAGAAAGGAGAGGCGATTTCTTTTTGCCTTCTGTAAGCCCAAAAGGGCGCGACGATACCGGTTCTGCCCTCAGTGGATAATTAATTTCCGCCGAAGACAAGGATGTAATAAAACGGCCCGTATATCTCGAATAATATTATACGCATCCAGAAGAGCTCCGCGACGTTTCCTCTCTTCCATCATTTGCTCGTTTCTTTGAAATCTCAAGTCTCAGATCCCGAATCGGATTGCACCTCTGCTTACTTTATGCCGAGACCGTTTGGTTTAAACAAAAACAAAGGGACAGTGATTTATATTGACGCAAGTTTAAGACAAAGCTGACATATTTTCCATACACAGATCTCATACTTTCATTTCCGCCGATGACAAATGTAACAAACACGCAGCAATCAATCTCAAAAGTAAGTTGATTTATTCGAATTAAAATTACAACTTTTTCTTACTTTTGTTATCTTATTTTTGTTTAATTAACTTATGCACCGACAGAAATTACAGAGAGCTATCACATGTAACGTAAGAGAACTAGCAAATTTTTTTCAGAAATTCTTAAAGCGGCATGAATGCTTCCGTCGGTCGGAGATTAATTAATGAATCGGAGACTAATTAATGATGCACATTTTAATGGAATTAAACGAGAGGAACTATCGTACTCTTTTTCGTCAGCGACGTTACTTTGCACGCTCAGCTTCTTTCATTGGCGCACGCGTGATTAATGCATCAGTTTAATTAACCGACGACAAGGGACGATCAATTACGTTTGTTTACAAGCTGTACTCGTTACCTACGACGGCATCGGCCGGTCGTTTGAGAGCGAATTAACGTTACCCGAAGGTGGACCGTGTTATTGCACCTGGACACGTAATCCCATTGCTTTTAGCCACCGTATAATTATCAATCGACTATTGAGTTCTTATCGTAAACGTCAGTTTAATCGATATTCACCCAATCGAAGATTATTTTATTAAACATTAATTTAAACAAGAGATTTTAGGTTAAGATTCTAATACCCTGTAACAACAAATATTTTTTTCTAGAAATTACCAATCTCTGATACGTTAATTTGTCAATATCTCAGTTTCTAAACGCTCGTACAAAAGTGCAACGCAACAAATTTATTAATGGGACAATGGTATTTTCAGTTCGTTTTCAATCCATCGTTTAACTCGAATCGTTAATTGATCGATGAAAAGTAAACATGTAATGTAATGATTTAAAGATAGTGATGTATAAAAGTGTCACTAGTGATAGATTTACATACAGCGCTATGAATGAAAATTTGTTCGCGTTAACATGACATATTATTTCAAATAAATTACAAATCTCTTGCAGTTTTGCAAAACAAAAAAGACTTAGAATATTTCACACGATAGACAGTTCTTCGTTACTTCTGAATGATCTTCATGCGCGGCCGTCGTACGTTTTAAATTTGCACCTGTGCGAACTAGGTCCAACCTGGCTTTCCGTCGCACTTTCAAGCCGCGAATTAAACCGGCTCCTTGACTCTACGATAACGATGACGATAAAACTCCTAAATTATAATAAACGAGGAAATTAATCTCATTCGCTCACAATATTTGTTGCGGATCAGAATCTAATTTTATATAATCTAACAGAATAGTCGGTATCCCGAGTACTGAGTATGTATTTGATTGTTTAGACATTTGATTACTATCCGAAATGTGCCGGCAATACTCATATCTAAAGTATCTGCATAATACGATCAATTAATTCAAAGCTCACCAGCTTTAGCTCAATCCCTAAAAAGTATCAGCACACGATTGAAATAAGTTTCTATTACTCCAATCTCCTACTGTGCCTTAATGCGAAAACAATTTATCATCACGTTCCTCACTAACATCAACATTTTCTCAACTCATTGTTAGGATAGACCGTAGGAGAATTACCAAGTTGCAGATCGATTGTTCACAATCAAAAGTCCATGACGAAAACAATTGATTGGGCGGATCGAACTCTCGAGAAAATCATTCGTGCCCACGTAAAAAACTAAACAACCATATATTCACCATCTTGAATTTGATAGGGAGAAGTGTTTGCGGAGATGCTATCGTCCGTTCGTCATCTGAAACGAGAAGTTTTCACCCCGGTTGGGTATACCGGGTGGCGCGCGACGGCCAATGGGCAACGCGGACAGAGGGATGACACTCACCCAGTGCATGCCGGTCGTAGGAGGGGCGCGCTCCTCATACACTCCCATCAGGGTGGCCGCTGTCGCGGGGTAGTTCCCGCCGAGGGTGCGCGACGCCGATGCTGTTCGGGGGGGAGTCCCGGGGGATCCGCTTGCCGATAACGCGGAGATGGCGTCCGCTGTGGCTGGGGTCCTCTCTTCCTACCACCACCACCGCCCACCCTCGTCCTCCTCTCTATTCGTTACTCCCCTCGCAACACTCTTGATATCACGACACTAACGTGGGAGGTGAATCCCTCCGTGACACCTTCGGGGTATAGTCGAGGGAGGAGCCCTCACGGGCGCATCGCTTTCTTTCAGGTCAGCGACAGTTCGCGGGTAATCATACGCGTGCAACACCCATGTCACTTCACAGATTAGCACTGACGTCCGTTACTGTCATGGACCTTATCGACAGTCCGGAATCCGTAACTCGCGGCCCATACTTGGAGTCGCACCGACGCACTGCGACAAGCGACCGCGACAAACACCGAATCGCGAGCGAGTCCGCGCACCCGCACTAATTGAAACAACCCCACCGGTCACACCACGAAGCCGAAGATATCGGAATAAGGCCACCCACTCGTGACTGTTTCTTCATCACCAATGGAACGTTCAGTATATGTTGGGGGTAATCTGCCTAGTCCACGCGTTGTCCATGTGTGAAGAAACGCCACAATGAACGGAGTTTCTTGCAACGAGAGGAACGACTTACAACGACTCGGCTGCGCCAAGGTGAATGCGGACGGTTCCGACGAGCCGGAGCCGCGATACGAAGTGAGGGTACCGACCAGGCCAAGTCCAGTCCCGGGTGTTTGGCAGCGCCGCCTGGCGACAAAACCAAAATCGGCAACATCGCCAAGTGGGAGGGACTTTGGATCGCGCCAAGCCACACCCGCGCCACCCCACTCGCTGCACGGTCAACGTATCCCGCCCCCTTTGTAGCTCGCATGCACGCTCGCGCCGTGACAAAGCGTTCGCTCCCGGCGAACGGGTTTGCTCGGGAAGGGCAGAAGGAAGATTGAGGGAGAAAGAAACCGGCGCCGCTGCGCCCCGCATTGTCGTAAACCTCTAGGGTAATCATGAATTGTGCGTACAGCAGTACTGCGAGAACTCTTTCCCTCGGCAAAAGGAGGAAAAAATTTTTTTTCCTTTTTCCTCCTGTTTCGATAAAATGTAAAATTTATGATTGAGCGGATTTCGTCAAAGGCAAATCTGCCCACGTTTTTAGTTGTCAAAAGATAACGAGCTTCGAGAGTATTCATGCATGAACAATTCCTTATATGAGCCGTTCATTTTGAAAACAAAATCTAATTTTTAAAGCATGTACGTTCACTCTCTATATTGATATCTCTTCTTTTAATATAAATGATACTCCAAAATTGTCATCATCATTTCAGCAAATACAGCTATAAAGGCTAATAGGCTAAACCGAATTCATACCAATCAGACACGAGCCAACCAAAATGGATAGATTGGTTAAATTAGTTGACTAGTTGATTAGATGTAACTAGTGTGATTAATCTGTGTCTATTTGAGTTGGCGAGCTATTGGAACTCACTCTTTTCAATCCTAGTGTACTAGCCACATGAGAAACGAAATTACAGTGTGCAAACTGGATATTGTTATCAATTATGGGCTATTGTGATTAGTGCTATGCTTCCTGGTATGATAAATCGATAGTAGTGGATTTCTTTTCTATTCCTCCTATAGCTCGATCATTCTTATGGATTTAGAGACGAAGGACTTGATTCCAAATATTAGATTTTGTGAATGTTGTACATAACCTTCCGATGATCGTTATCGCATTCATGACACATCACTTCAACATATCAGCCACTACACAGCATTTTTCGATATTTCCAAACGAAACATCGTTCACCATACACCGTACACTATACACTTTCCACAGAGAGACGGCACAATAAGAAGCCAACGACTATTTATATCCCGCTTCGCAGCGTAACGTTTCACCCCTTCACCGCCTCGCCGCTGTTGCGTCTTCCCCAAAAACGACGCGATGGAGGAGGACGATCTCCGAGCCGACTGAGCGACCGTCCGATATCCCGTCATAAAGAGAAACCGGTTTCGTCACGACGTAGACGGAAACCGTCGCTCCGATCAGAAATTCCTGACGATGCCCGGCGTCCCGATGATGGAATCCGCGAAAACAGCGCTCGTACTCGCGCTCGCTTGACTCGCGCCGTCATCATCGTTGCCCGGACGGTCGTCTTATTTCGCAGCGCGATTAAATCGAGTGTTTACAGGGGAAGCCGACCGGTGGAATGCAGAAAAACACGTCGACGAAGTGAGCTGTCGGCGCTGCAGCGCTCGTGTACGGACGCACTCCCGGTAACTCCCGGGGACACCGCGGCGCCGCGACTGTGTATTCAAATTCTACGAGATGAGTCGTTGATAAAGAGCAACCTTGCGAGAAGCGAAGCGCTTTTCAACCTGCAGCATCGCCGTGGCGTTGCGTAGACGTTTGCTAGAGTAGCGTATCGACCGGAGTAGCATAATGCAAAAGACAAGAGGCTGACTTCTCGTCTCACGTCTCATTTTCAGCCCGGTTCTCTTCTTATCAATAATCTCACGTTTGGGCTTTCGTGATACTTAAAATTTCCAACGTTGACTGAAAAAGACAAAATGAAAGAACCGCTTTGATTTGTATCCTCTTATACGGTACATTGTTTTCTAACTTGTGCATAAGTGTTCTATTCAGCCGAAAATGTTTTCCCACTTTCGTTAATGCCGAGATCATCCCTTTGTTACGTCTTCCACTATAAAATGATATGGCGGGTATACGGTGCGCTCGGACAAACGCGCGGTATTTTCAACGATTCTCTTCCACAAACAGGAGTGGTTTGCGGTAAACCGGAAAGCAGCTTCCGAGTTGAAAGCGGCGGTCGGGTCAAGAACTGTCGGCGCTTTTGAGCTTTGTCTCTGTCTATAATCCTTGCACCCAAGCTTTCGTTTGCTCGCTGGTAAATTCGCTCTTTACTTTTCTAGCTTTCAGCCGCGAGCAGAAACGCAAACAGAAAAACCGGAGACACATTCGAGTCAACTCCGAATCCCAGAAATTACAGGTTTGAACATAAACCGGAAAACGATTGATCGAAAGAAACGTAAGGTTTTATTCAAATGTAGCCGTTTTTAGAAAGTTATAAAAATGAAGTATCTTATTTACAAGAGAAAAATGTTCACGAACCCGTGAACATTTTAGCCCTCTATCGTTGATGCAATTTTAAATTTATGAATGAAAATTAGGAAAAGAGAGAAAACTAGTCTCGATGCTCACCATGGTCCTCACAATCGTCTCAGTACTCGTCTCGAAATACGAAGTTTCGCGTTTCCATGGGGTTTACAAGCTGCTTTCAAGACTGCTTTCGTACGGTCCCACTCGTGGGGGTTCTCAACAGGCGGGTCCCTATTCGCCACGGGGCACCAGTACCCTATTGTACCGTCAGTGCGTGTTTAGTATTCACACGTCAAGTTAACAGCATTCCGCCCCTTGCTACTTTTCTTCCCAACCCTCACCAGTCCCCCCTCTTGCCCCGTGCCACACTTTTGCTGTGCTACTTCCTGCGGTCAAGACTAGGATGATTTTTTCCGACATATTTGCGAGACAATTATAAGCTGTTTATTTATTAATTATATTTATTAATATACATAAAAGTGTATGATTTATTTTGTCCAGGGCAAAATGTAACAATATTGAATAATAAACGTTAGAGCATAATTTCTACTATTTCATATTTTCTTTATTTAAATACCTTGAAATGCTTTCATTTTCTTGTACCTAATCATTTATTTGCTTCTTAAAAAAATAGTTACACTAACAAATTCAATTTATTGAAAGATGTATGATTTATTTTGTCCGTCTGTACATCTTATTTAGAAATAGTTATATATACTAATTATGTGTGTACCTCACATTAAGGTAATATCGAGAAAGAGCATTATACACATAAAAAAATTTGTAATTGATTAAAATAATTTAGCTGAATCTGGAAAAGTGTAGATTTAAGAAACGTGGCTAATCTAAAAATTCGGAGAGCAATAAAGTTTTTATTAAAAGTTACGAGAATTTAAGGATATTTCAGGTATCTAGAAAATTCAGGATACTGAAGCCTACGATATACAGAAATTCGGACTTATGCATGCGTCACTTATATCCACATGTTCGCTTTAACAGTGAAAAGTATCGAGGTCGGAGAGATGTAAGCGATGCAACTCGATGCCCGGAAGGTCGCAGCTTGAGCTGTGGAAAGACTGCCGCTTTCCGCAGTTTGGCTGACAATGTTCCACCGATCACCGGCGAGCTAAACGGTCCACCCAGCGGTCATTGTCACCATTGTCTGCGGCTGCCAAGTCGTGAGCACGCGCGTCTCCGCACGGGAGAGAAGCTGGACACGACAATAAACGGTTGGGCCAGTTACACGCGCGAGGCCCACAACGATGTTACAATAACGAGGACCTCGTAAATGTCCAGACAGCAGTGCTTTTAGGCACGGACGAGCCAGACGTGTGACTAGGTCCCAATTCTTTGATCACAGTTGCACAGCGGAAATCTTCATATATCTTCATTTACAAATGGACTATTGTGCATGAACACACGTCCCTTATAACACGACGGTGACAATGTCGCGCCAAGGGATGCCGAACCGCCAGCTAAATGTATTTATAACAGTAATATAAACAGCCCATCCCATTACGCGTGTTTTACGCTACAAGATGACAATTTTGAAAAAAAGAATGAAAGAAAAGAGAGCTAAGTCGAGCGTTATGTAAGGAATATTATTCGGCAAATGCGCAATTTTGCACTAGATGTACGCGAGCTGATGAATGAATACCCTGTCGTATTAGGGGATAAATCCCACACGGCCTAAGGGCCTGAGCAGATACAAATGTGCCAACGTGCAGGGGTGACAACGACGCTATAATGGCAGAGAACTAACGTAAATGTCATGAAACTAACGTAAATGGCAAGAAACGCCGCTTGGCCATTGTGAGGGCAACGAATAGAGAATATTCCGGATAGTAGACCGATCGGAAACGAACGCGTGCTGCTCAATGGCTGCCGTGGAGATTACACGTTCATTCAAGGCAGAGCAACACGCGCCGTCACTGCCACTGCCGCCGCCGCCGCCGCCGCCGCCGCCGCCTCTGCTGCCTCTGCCGCTTCTGCCGCCTCCGCCAGACCTCATGGCCCATCTCTTTTACGAATCTAGGAATTCAAGAGCGAAAGGAAAAGCGACTTAGCTCAAGCACGCTGGACTGATCAGGGATCAGTCGATTAACCCTCAACCGGTGTCGCCCGTTTGATTTGGGTGAACCCCAGCAATTTTTCACAACGGTCGCTTTTCGCTCATCAGGCTGATCCTGCGTGATCCTGGTCGTAAAAGGAGCCGGCTTAATTGTTACAAACAGCGTAAAGCATATAGATCTTCTTTACAAACACGCAGCCTCCTCAATGTTGTACGCCTCAGGTTGTCTTTAAACATTTGAACACTTTAGAACCTTTCTTTTTTACCTTAAATTGATATTTTAAGTGAAGGTACAATGCGCCGCGCAAAATAAGTGAAAACTTCAGTTTGTTTAACGATCATACGTCAATCGTACGTTAAACATCGTAAGCCATTGTTTGCAATAATACATCACCGGCTGATTCTCATCTCGCCTAACGCGGTCACTTTATTGGCGGGATTTCCACGTCGTGGAGCAGGAGCGCGTGCCGATCAATGGGCGCTGCATGGATTATGAGAGC